GAGAAGATTATTTGTGAATGTCTAGATATCTATTTATTTACTCTTCATTCTTCTGGGCTCAGTTATTACATTTTACTACAAAAATAGTGTGATTTTTTTTCTGCAATATTGTTACTGTATTTATACCTTAAACAATTATGTTTATATTTCACAAATAAGGTTCAATTTCAAAAGATGTTATTTTAAATACTTTTTTCTCAACAGAAATTCTCCCATACAAATGTGCTTGGAAACATACCAAATCTGAACTACCTGCTTGATTTCTATAACTCTATTTTACATGAATCAATGTATTTTATATGGTTCATTATGAATGAATATTTTCATGAAACTTCATTTGACAGATATTTAATTTCACTTTAAAAATGGCTTTGAACTCTGTACTATATTCTGGAGTAAATAACTAGAATAAGGATTACCTAGTATAAATAATATTCAGAAAATAAAAAACCAAGAAATTTGGAAGCAAACTTAGTAAAACTAGTTTATGAATAATTTTAACACATATATAAGAAAAATTATTTAAATTAATTCTATATTGTAGTCCCTTGTTTAAGAAATGCTAATTTATAAGTTATATATCAGTAATGCCTTTCTGGCATCATGACATTAAAAGGCTACCCTTAAACTTGTCTAATAACTACATTGAAATTGTTTGAAGTAGTATTACTTGTGTCTATTTATTATTAAAGATTAAATACAGAGAAAACCTAGGTGTAATGCCTGTTTTGAAAAAACATTTTAAATATAAAATAAATGACAAATGAGTATCAGTGAATGCATTTTACTTAAATTTCCAAATAGCTTTCTATGTTTTAAATGTCTCTCCTCACAGAAGGCTATTAATATAACAGGTTACAAAAAGAAATTTATGTCTTATTTAAGATTGAACACTGTGACTAAATAAAATAATTAATTCTCAAAACCATATGCAGTTATAAATGAAGTTCCATGGATTATACAAATCACAGACTTTCATCTTTAATATTCATTTCAATAAAAAACAAAACATTTATAATATTAAACTTTCCTAAGGATATGAGCAGTGAGGGAATTTTAGGAAGATAAAATGAGCTAGTGATTGAAGATCACAAAACTAGCTGAAAAGTAACATAAATACAATGCATTAGAGATCTAAAGAAATAATTTACACTACTGACACTTCCAGATAGATTTTGAAAAGATTTTGTAAGATTTCTAAGGATACTACTTTGGACAAGTCAGTGGAAAACCACTCTGAATAAAATCAGTGATATAACATATTTAAAGCATGACAAAAATGTGTAACACATTAAATAGATGGTAATCCAGCATCACAGTCTAGTAGTACAAGAAGTTGGTGTAATAACTGTATTACAAACCAAAAAAAAAAAAAAAAAATTAATGAAATACTTTGGAATTTTGCTAAAAGGCAAACAATTAGCATAAATTCTCTCTTTCTTCTCTGTAAATCAATACCTGACTTAAAAAGGAAACAAAAAGTTGGTTCCTAAGTGTATAGATGCTGGTTTATAAATCTTTGTGAACAGAACCTTAGGGGCAAAGAAACTATACAAAACAGAGATATTTGCAAATGTTAACCAGAGTAATGGAATGACTCGCTGATATTTCTGAAGGTCACAAAACAATTGAACAACAAGGCTGGGAAGGAACTTCGGTCCCCTCCCTTCCACACAGTATTGAAAATCACCAGATGCTTCTGAGGTCCCTTCCACCGAAAAACATTAGCAGCAGAAAAGCTAGTCAAGTGTTTCTACCCATGCAGTCAGTGTTCCTGCTTAAAAAGTAAAATGTTGCTGCTTGGAGAGTCATTTTAAAATTGTCCTTTGAAATATCTACTTACTTTCATATTTAGAGGATAAAATGCTTAAAAATATCTAAGTAGAATTTATTTTTGATGAATAATGTGGACACACACTAAATAGACTTAATACAGACTTCAGAGACACTAGTTTCCAGAGAGCTATATTTGAATTTACTCTGTCTCCTTACTGATTGGTTAGACCATAAACTTAGCACCAGGCAGAAAGTAACACTGTATTTCTCCTCTGTTAGCAACTATAAATAACTGTATAAGTGCTTACATTTTGCTGGCTCTTTCTTTAAATTAAATGTAAAAGATGAGCCTTTACTCTATCCCAATAATATCGTATGTATCTGGAAACCTAAAACAAGTCAGGGGCAAGACATTTCTGAATGTATCCAAAAATAAGACTTTATCATCTTGATGAATTTTATACTCCACTCTTTTAAAAACCTATTTACTTGTTCATTCTGCCAGCCTTAAAAAAAAAATCCCTACTTAGTGTAGAGAGAAGAAACAATACTGCCCCCATATCCCTCAGGTACTAAGAGACCAAGAAGGTCCTTTTTATGTCTTTATCCAATGCTGAGAGTTCTCTTACACCAGGAGTGTTGATCTATAACTTTGTTAAATCTTTTTCAGATTTCAATATTAATTATGTAGTGATCAAATTATTTTTCCTTACTTTATACATAATTAAATTTTCCTTCTTTACTCTTCTACTGCACTTTGGCCAAGTGTACATTGTGAATGTTCGTTCCAATGAAAACTGAACCATGGTGGGAAACTTCACTACATAAACAAGCAACCCATTTAGGGCTGCTGTAAAAAGTAGTGATAATGTGAAGTCTTGAAGAATTATCCAAATTAATAAACTGGTGACCAAAGTTCAATAATTACCAAAAAAAATGTCTGTGGTGACTAACATTTAGAGGTCAAATCACAGAGCTGGAAAACATTTGAGATCCAATCACATCAATTACACTTAGATGAGGATTAGACACTGGGACAGAGGTGGCAGGAAGGAAGCTCAGGAACAGTGTTATGCTCCTGGCAAGCGTCTCTGTAGCCAGCTACGTTTTTGGAGTAACCCTTTCTATCAGCAGTGCACAGACTGCGTATACTGACATGTGTTGAATGTGAAAACACATTAGTCCACCAGTTCTGAGCATATAACACACTGTGACATAACCTGTCATCTCGCAGGGGCAACACTGTTACTGTCATGTGTGAAGGTCAGCTGCTTCCCAACAAGTTAAAGAATTTGCTCAAAATAAAAACCGTAGTTACCTCCAGGTCTTCACACTAAATGCTTTCCAAAGCAAGATCCAACCTATCCAAGAACTTTTCAAGGTAATCCTGTTAATCTGACACTGATAAATATACCTAAACACACACACACACACACACACACACACACACACACACACACACACAGGCACACACACTTACACATAGAGTAAACCAATCATAGATTTGATAAGATCTCAGGTTACAACTTTGGGCATTACAATACTGTGTTGTATGCCATGAAAACCACAATTGGGTAAACAGCTTAAAGTGATTTCACTTCCAAGTGTATACTAAGGCAAAAAAAAAAAAAAAAAAATCTAGCTCTAAGTAAATGTTGTATCTTTGGAAGTTAAACATATCCCAGTGATTGCAAAGGGAATTTTTTTTTTTTTTTTTTTTTTTTTTTTTTTTTTGGTATTGGGAATCAAACTCAAAACCTTGTGCTTGCCAGGTAGGTGCTTATGCCAAGGTATATCCCCCGCCCAGGGACATTTTTTTTATAAAGTGTAGACTTACAGTTCAATACTCCTTTCAGAATCCCTCTTTCAAACATGCTTTTCTCTCACTGACAATTATTTTTCTGATGGAAAATTTTCAATGTTTCTTTTCAAGTAATATAAAAATAATGGGCCTAGGGTTATACTGTGATTGTCTTATACCTACCTACTTCTTAATAAAATATAGATTCTTTCATGCAAAAAATTTTAATGGTTCGATTTGATAATGAGCGATCTTAAAACTACCAGTATCTTTAAACACTTTGTGCTCACCTGTAGAATATCCTTTTCAGATATAAAGTATAAACAAACTTTTACCTTTTCATAAGAATGCACAGGCAAAAGGAAAGATTGGAAAATATTTTTTATAATAAAATCAAGTCGTAATTCTCTTTTCCTAATTTTTTGGCATTATATAGGGAACAGTAACATTTTAAATGACCTGCTTCTGAGATTGAGGATAAAACTAAATGTGAAGCCGTGTGCTGGTTACATGGAGTCAACCATTTTAGGCTAATGTAATCATTTTTAAAAATAGATACTGTGTTTCAGGTTATAGCTCAGAAAATAATGTATTTCTACACTGAAGCCTTCTACTATTAGCTGCTGGGTGTATATGGTAGGTACACTGGAACTCACTTCCTGTGACCGAAGAAACGAACTTCACACAAACAGCGTAAGAGCTTTGCAGAGCTTCGGCTTCCTTGGCCTCAAGCGAGCTCATTTCTTTTACCCTTCAGAGCTCACCCTGGTCCTTTCCTCCTGAGTTTTGTGAATGGTTCTAACCTTTCTTCACCTGTACCACTGGAAAACCTCGATTACTTCGCCTGACATTCATTTTTAATTTTTAATTTTTAAGCTAGAATTGTTTCTTTGTTCTAGTTGGAATGATCCATACACTGTTTTTGCATCAGCTCACATTAACACAAAAAGGCTTTCCATACGCGAATTGTTTGGGTGGGATGCGAAGGACATACAGGAATATTTTACTGCAAAATGAGTTTAAACATTGAAAAATAACTTTTTGTACGTCCCGATGTTTAACTCTTGACACTTGACTTTTGGGTTTTGTTTGTCATCCCGTCCCTCCCCTGGTTGTTTTAACCACAATTCTAACCTTTCCATCAGGTGAGTACTGAGCACTAAGTCTAACCTTCCCACAAGGTGAGTACTGAGTACTAGGAGTATCCCTTTGGATAGGGCCAGGTCTCTTGATTTCTGGGCCTATTGTTTCCACAGGAAATTAATTAGTGAATGGAAAGAAAGGGTGTGTACTGGAATTTAGGCTTCAGGGAGGACCCCAAAAATGGATTTATTTGGGTGGTTTTCCCAGGATCCTCCCTGGGGCTTTGGAGACCTTTGGCTACTGAGCACAGGCTCTGAGAGCAGCACCCCCAAAATGAGGCCCCATGGGTTGTGCAATTCTGTTGGGAGTAAGTGACCTCCAAGACAGGACAGGGACTGCAGGTGGCCTGGGCAAAGGGGCTGGAGACCGGACGTGGCGAGCAGACTCAGGGCTTGACACACACAAGCACACACAAAAGAGGCCGGAAAGTGTCCAGAGGAAACCGGTGCGTCACGGGACGCAGCGTGCCTGGCCGGTGCCGCGCCCGCCCCGCAGCCCGGTCCGGTCCCGCCGCTGAGCCCGCCGCTCGCCGCCCGCCGCCTCCGATGAGACTCCTCCCGCTGCTCGGTGAGTGCCCGCGCCGGTGCCGGCTGGGGCGCGCGGGGTGCCGGGTGCACCGCGCAGCTCGGTGGCACGCGTGCCCAGCCAGGCGTCTTGGGGGAGCTGACACTGCGCTCCGCAGGATGTTTGTTCCTGTGGCCTTTCAACCTCTGGAGTTTGCTACTCAGGGCCCAGGGGCTGTTACCTTTCGATTTCTCCTGGCAGAGTCCCCCAAGTCCTCAAAGTCTTGACTGTGACCTTTCTTCTGATCTCACCCCCAAGAAACCTGGGAAATCCAAGCCATTAACACTTGTGGAAAGCTTCCTGACATTTTAAGGGGATCGCCTGCCCGCCCGGAGTTTGGGCTCATTTAAATTACCTTTTCGAAGATGCAGTGCTGAAAGATAATAAATCATATCTCTGAAGGCGAATTAATTCTGTGTTAGACGCTACAGGCGCTTCGATGTGGGGCTGGGACTTAGAATTGGATATTTAAAAAATCTCTGGGTACAGATAAGGACAATTTATCTCAGATGACTTGTTTTCAGAACAATGACTTTGTGATTCATAGCTGTTCTGCTCTTGAGAAGAGCTGGAACAATAAAAACAGGAACATCCTTTGCTTTTTCTTATCTTTTCTTACAGTCCACCAAGTATTTCCAACTTTATTTTCAATAGCTCTGAAAGTCTTTCTGGATGTTTCGTTTTGTTTTCGTTAGTTGAGTTTAAGTGATGTTCCATTTCTGGGAGATCAATCTCTAAATCATATGTTCAATTTTATCTGAATTTTCTTTAATGTAAGAAATTGTAAATGGAATTTTGTTGTGAAAAGGCAAAATTGACAATCCATAGAATATAGGAGATAAAATCCATTGCATTGATCCTCTTGGAGATTGAGATAGCTTTAAATAACACACATGTGAATTTGAAAAGACCCAAATACTGAGTTTACCTTAATTCCTGCAAAAATTTGCCCTAGAAGAACGAAATTCCTTAACGAATATACGGTTATCTTTAAACATCTCTCATCTCAGACTAAAGGGTGATGTTGGATCAGTGTCTGACAGGAAAGTTTTTATTACAAAACCAGGATGCTCATTATATTCCAGTTTCGTCAAAATTCATTTGATAAAGATTGACATGGAAAAAAAGTCCTTAGATTTTGCTTGTTTTCCTGCTGTTATTTAGCTAGATGCTATTGTTATCTGTTTATCCAAATAGAAAGAAAGAAGAGTATTGATATTTATTGTATGCTATCTCAACAATGAAAGGAGTGGTTTCTTTCTTTTTTTTTTTTTAAATATGTATGTCTTATTTTATTTAGTGGGTTTTGCCACTTTGTTGAGTTGTTCCCACACGCAAAGTTGCACCAAGACCCGTTGCCTCCCAAATGCAAAATGTGAAATACACAATGGAGCCGAAGCCTGCTATTGCAACGCGGGATTTTCAGGAAACGGCGTCACAATTTGTGAAGGTAAACAGTCTTTATTACCTCTTTTGGATTGCATTGCACGGTAACATTAAATTCTGGTGGTACTGCCTGTACTTCCTCCAGAAATTACCATGTTTTCATATATTGTTACATTCCATGCTATTGGCGGGGGAATGGCTTAATTAACTGAATAGCAGTTTGAGGTTCCTGGATCAAGACCTATGCTTCATTATTGATTTTCACAACTCTCTCTCTCTCTCTCTCTCTCTCTCTCTCTATATATATATATATATATATATATATATATATATATGTATGCATAATTTTTTGCTGTGATTAAGATTGCCTTGGAACTTTAGGCTGAAAGATCCTGAGGCAAAAAGCAGAGTCAGCAGCAGAGCAGAAGGTTCCTGAAGTCCTGTCTGGTCTGTGTGCCAAGTGTGGTTGCCCATACTTCCACTAGTATGAGACAATCTAACTTTAAGAGTGCTAATAAGAGATTTGGCACGGATATCCTATATGTAGGAGATGGAGAAAGAGTGTGAAAAGGGGAGAAAAAAAGGAAGGAGCTAGTTGTGGGGAGAGGTTTTTGAAAATATCTTGTTTCTGAAGTAGCATTTTTTTCGTTGAACGTCATGATACATCCCAGAGAGTACCATAAAGTACTGGGGTCCTGTTTAGCCCATCCACTTGACAAACTCAACACTGACCATTTTAAGTAGTTTTTGTATCTGTGATTTCTATCAGCACCAGTTCTCTTCCTCTCCCCTCAGGGCTCACTCAATCTTTATTCTATCCTTCATTTTCGGTATCTCATATTTATTTTATTGCTTATTGCTTTTCTGTGCTGAAAATGGAACCCAGAGCCTTCTATACACTAGGCAAGGGCTCCATGGTCCCAACAGATGCTAATTTTAATAGGTCCTTAGTACAACATGCTTTAAAGGGGAGACAGGAAAAAACAATATTCCAAGTCAAATAATTTAGTTTGAATACATAATTAAATGGCAAATTCAGATTAGAGCTCTGTACTATTTCACTCATAAATGTATTTAATATAACATGGGTGTTTTCTAATTAAGCCAGGATATTGTTAGTTGTTAATATTGCATGTGGTTTTTTATTGCATAAACAGGTTGTATCTCGTGATTCAATTTGATAGGCTCTTAAAAAGATTAAATAAACAGTATATTGTAATACCAAACCTCATCCTAATTAGTTTAATATTTTTTTTTAAATTACAGCAAAGCTATAGTTGGCTTAATGGTACATTAGATCAGGCATTTCTGTTTTTATATATAGCCACAATTTGTAATATACTATTCCACAAGCACTATAAAATTATTTCCATAAGTAATCATAGATTTTTATCATGTGTTTAATTGAACAACATTAAGGCAAGTTGATAGCTGAGTGATCTTCAAAATATCACACCAAATATATTAGTGTGCTTTCCCAGTAATCATGAGAAATTGTGCTCCAGTATTTCATAAACAGCATTGCCCTTTTTTATTTAGATACTTTTCAACTGTTTTGATTACCATCATTAACATCAATAAATTTTAACAATTTAGACCTTCACTAGCCGAGCAGTTTATAATCATGTTTTTATGGATTTCTTTTAAAAACATACATCCCATTATCCAATGCAGTTATTTTCCCCAACCGCCCAAGTCAATACCCAGCTTTAGCACAGAAAATATTTTCCATTGGAAAAAATAAAATGCATCAAGACTTTCTGATTAGCAATATCTTCTTGCTCAGAACACAATTGATTTTTAAAAAGTTATGTTTTGTTTGATAAAATTAAATCCCTTTTCTATGTAGAGGAATTATATATGCACTTATTTTAGTATTTATTGTCTGGTTTGCATTCTCTTTTTTTTAAAAAAATGAACAATGATTTCAATATTGCCTGCCACTTATTAATTCACTGACAATTTCTGAAATTTGACAAATTTACCAATATGGTCTTCCTAATTCAACTTAGAACGATGTGCTCTTCATTGCTGAGTAGGCTATATTTTTAATTTAAAGACTCTTATGTGATTTTCATGTCTAAAGCTATTTCTCACAGTTTAGTCATTTTCTAAGTGTAGTATACTCATTAGATGTGGTTAGAAGAAATGACAGGAGCTTAACTGCATGGGATAACTGCTTCTTCAGAAATAAAATTTTTCTTTCTAATATGGTCACTGACCCGACCTTTATAAAAGTTGTCTTTCTAGATAGTAACAATGAAGTGTTAAAGTTGTCTTTCTAGATAGTAACAATGAAGTGTTATGTTAAACACTTATGTTAAGTGTTATGTTAACTGATTTTAAACAAATCTTGAAGAACTTGTATTATATGATTCCATACAAAAGAATATTAGTTGTAGTGAATTTATTTAATTTAATTTATTGAACACTTATTTAATGATCAACTTCATCATCGTTGCCTTTAAAATAGTTAGTAACTGTTGAACTGTTGTCTGCTTTATCTAAGGCTTTCATTGGCACCGTGCTTTACCTGTTGTTATTCCAATTTCATCTAGGAGAAAATAATCACAGAAAGGTTAAGTGAAAAGCACAAGTCACATGATAGAGAAGTGGTAGACTCAGTACTTCCCCAAAGGCTGTCCAATCCTGCAGCTTTTATCCTTAATTGTTATACTTGATGGCACAGCTTCTGCTTACTAGGTGATCCTGTACCCTTTGATTGAAATCATAAATAAAGTAGTGACTTTGACTTCCATGTAAGTAGCAAGAGAGTTATACAGTGCTCTTAATGACTATGATGTGATCCTATAAAACATATAAACAGACAAATTAGGCATACACAATCAGCTACAGAGAGAAGTCTTCTAAATGGAAATGACATTTAAACTGAGAGTTGAAGAATAAAAGTATTTATGAAAATTTACACAGTACTAAGGGGAGGGTGGTGGAAGGAATCAGCAGTAGCCAAGGCCTAGAAGCTGAAATGGATGGTGTTTTCCTTAAGAAGCTTCGAGTATTTAATGGTGGACTTATATCCCAGGATATATTATTTGAAAGATATCAAGGATACGGACTTTATTCTGTTGGGAAAAGAAAGCCATTGCCAGGTGTGCAGTAGCCAAGTTATAGGATAAATCCTACTTTTTGGAATGTGACCCTGCTGTTTAGAATAAAAATGTATGGGCAATGGTGCGTCCAACAAAGGCTGTTTTCCCTACCCTATGAAAGTGGTCCTTTGTATTTGCACAATGAATTTTTCTCTTTGCCAATTCTACCCAGTATATCTTTGATTTTTATATTAAACTTTTAAAAGAAAAATGAAAGTCCTTATCTGTAATTACTATTAATACTGAGTTGTAATTTTTGTTGAGCTACCAACTGCAGCTTTTTGCTTGAAAAGGAAACAAAATATAGAAAATTCAAGTGAGTTTCCCAGTGGCCCAGGGCTGAGCAGTAAAACCAGAGCTCAAACTCTGCAAATAAGGAAATTGAGTATCATTGAGATAAAAATGAGTACATATGGTTTTTCCACCCCTCCACCATGACTTAGTCAAAACAAATGATTGCAGTAATTTTCAGAGCAGTAATTTCAGGGAAGTTAAAAAGTTTGCATATATGAAGGGGCAGCTCCATCAAATTCATAGATGAGGTGCAAGTGTTTAGTCCATTCCTTAGAACAAAATGAATTGACAAGAGCTATGAAAGCAGAATGGGGACGTGAGAAGTCCACAAATGAAGACAGAGCTTATACTTGGGCGAGAGTTCAGTGACACCCCAGTGTAAATAGAGACACCAGCTGCAGTGCTGATTCCTTGTCTTGGAGGTTCCTAACTTTTAGTGGAAGTCTAGGGGAATGGACAAAATACTATTTTCCAAAGGCTACACAGATTGGGCACTCTCATCGACATTGTGAAACTGAGGACACATTCTTAAAGGAAATGTGGTCCTCTGCTCAGCAGGTACTCTGGACAGTGAAAGTTGACGTCACTTTTTCACCTGTCCTCATCAGTCATAGCTGGAATAGTGCTAGCAATTTATTATGCCTCATCCCATATATGTAAACATCGGCTCTAAGTGGGCCGTAATGGCTCTAATTATTGTAATTAGAAATATGAAGGCCTTTTAAACCTAGTCAATCACTGAAGAAAAGACAAGCCAAACATAGAGATGACTAAATAGCAAAACTGACCTGAAAAGTGGTGTTTTTAATGATATTTTTAGGAGATAAAAGAGGCTGAAGAAAAAGGTCCAATTTATATATTGAAAGGAATTCTGGAATTTACATTCAAATAACAACAAAATGTCCCTTAGCATTAAAGTACTTTATATTAAAGTCACTTTGTATTAAAGTGCAGCTCTCACACTATAAAAATCTGACTAATGCACCCTAAAACCCTTGTGCTTCTATTCACTTTAAACTATTCTTCTTCTATAGGAGCGGTATCAACACAATAAGCTGATAAAACTGTATTGCAAACAATTCTTTAAAACTACATAAGATCAAGGCTAAAGTCTCCCATGCCTGGGTTTCCTGACCTACAAAGATAATCAGTACATAAAGTAGGAAAGCTACAGTTATCCAATTGATTTGCACATTGAGGGCACCAGAACTGCATTAGTCAACACATTCTGAGCAAATCAGTTCAGTACAGTTCTACTATGTGTAATAACCCATTGTTATCTTGTCCTTTATCTTTGCCCAGAACTCTCTACTTTCTCCTGTGCTTTATCTCAAAGGTTAGTCAAAGCAATAATCTATATGGTTTCTGATTCTTACTGCATGCTTTGCTAGGAGCTTTTCACATTTTAATGTCAGTAATATGAGAATGGAATTCATACCTGGGAACCAGGATTAGTGCATTGTTGCAGGAGCATCGCAGTTCCATTTGATTCAACTTAAACATTTTTCCTCACCTAACAACTGTTGTGGCTACAGTCGTGCAGCTCATTGCAATCTTATCTCTTCTTTTAATCTCTGATCTCCAGAGCTGGCCTGAGAAATGCACCTCCTCTGCATCTACTCCGTCTACTCCTCTCCTGCCCACTAAGGATATTGCATAA